CGACAATCCAGAGGGGAAATAGAGCACGGAGCACAATCACATGTTCAAGAGTCCGAAACAAATCCAAGTTCTCTTGAAGACACTACAAATAGGGATAGCCTTGTCTCGGGTGAGCTCATGGTACCGAGTATTGAGGATTCAAATAAGCCAATTGCAGCAAGGAAATTGATCTGAAGATGTACAAGTCATCCAATTGGTAACTATGTCTCTGTTAGACTCCTATTCTCTGTTAGTAGAATTGAGACAGAATTTCTAGGAATACTATCGGAAGCTTGAATTGTATTAATGGCGGACGATTGGTTACAAGGGGATAAGGGGATTTTCGAGAGATCCCTTGCTCTCCTAGGTTCCACTCTCGGAAGTATACAGATGATTCGATTCCCTTCTATTCCCCTTCCTACTGAATTTATACTACTAAGCCTTATTCTCCCTCACTGATCCCAATGCTAACTAACTAGTAACTTCCTACTGACTCAGCCACTTCCTAATTCCTCTTCCCGAGCTCCTCCCTCCACGTCAGCCTCCACTTGAGTTTCAGCTGCCAACCTTGGCTCGTGGTGGCGTTTCCTCCGAACATATGTAAAACGCAAGGGGGGCTTATCATACCAATTGTTATAACCCTTGGGTAGAACTCATCCTCAAAAGCTAGCTTATAGGGAGAGGGTGCCCAAATGGTTATAAACCCACATGCTAAGCCCATACTTTAGCAATGTGGGACTCAACCAGGATCCTAACATACCACCACGCTTCCGACATCGACGTCCACGGCGGCCCACTCTGGATGGCCCATTCTGGCCTTTCCAGGTCGCCCCTCTCCAGGTCGCCCCTCCCCAGGTCGCCCCTTCCGCAACGTGGGCCTGAGGAGGAGCATGCTCTGATACCAATTGTTATAACCCTTAGGTAGAACTCATCCCCAAAAGCTAGCTTTTGGGGATGAGTTCTACCCAAGGGTTATAACAATTGGTATCATATGATGGTTTGTCCTCATCATACCGAGCCTTTGTGTCTTCTCTGGATAGTATACAGGTTCCCAATAATATACAGGAGGCTCTTAAGCATCCTGGATGGAAGAAAGTTGTTCAAGAAGAGATTAATGCACTTGAGAGGAATGGAACGTGGACCATGACCGAACTTCCAGCAGGAAAACGATCAGTCGGGTGCAAATGGATATTTACGGTCAAGTGCAAGGCAGATGGGAGTGTGGAGAGACTCAAAGCTCGTCTCGTAGCAAAAGGGTTCACGCAGGCATATGGGATTGACTATTAAGAAACCTTTGCTCCAGTGGCAAAACTCAATACCATCAGAATCTTGCTCTCAGTGGCAGTAAATCTCGATTGGAACCTACACCAATTGGATATAAAGAATGCATTTCTCAACGGAGATCTTGAAGAAGAGGTGTTTATGGAGGTCCCACCGGGCCTTGACCTAAATCTTGCTGGAGGCAAAGTGTGTAAAACTCAAGAAATCTTTGTACGGACTCAAGCAATCACCTCGTGCATGGTTTGAGAAGTTTGCAAAGGTAGTCTTGAATCTCGGGTACACTCAATGTTAGGCAGATCACACTCTCTTCATTCGAACATCACCAACTGGGAAGATTTCTCTCTTGATAGTGTATGTTGATGACATCATTCTCTCAGGGAATGACGAGGAAGAGTTGAAGAGATTGAAGGTGCACCTAGCACAGGAATTTGAAGTTAAGGATCTAGAGAGAATTTGAAGTTAAGGATCTAGAGAGTCAAATATTTCCTTGGAATGGAAGTGGCAAGATCTCGAAAGGGAATTGTCATTTCTCAATGGAAATACATCTTGGACTTACTAAAGGAGACTGGAATGCTAGGGTGCAAACCGGTTGACACACCTATGGACCCCTACAAGAAAATTGGCTCGGTAAAAGATAGTGCACCAGTCGATAGGGGGAGATATCAGAAGCTTGTTGGTCGGTTAATATCTCTCACATACCCGTCTGGATATAGGCTTTGCAGTTAGTGTTGTAAGTCAATTCATGCACAATCCTACAGAAGAGCATAGGGATGCATTGTTTAGGATACTGAAGTATTTGAAGTTGACACTCGGGAAAGGACTGTTTTTCAAGAAGTCGGGGCATAGAAACATAGAAGTTTACATAGATGCGGACTGGGCTAGAGACACTATGGATAGGAGATCGACATCAGCCTATTGTTCCTATGTTTGGGGAAATCTAGTGACTTGGAGAAGTAAAAAACAGTCAGTTGTGGCTAGAAGCAGTGCTGAGGCAGAATTCAGGGCTCTAGCACAAGGAATTTGTGAAGGAATATGGATAAAAAGGGTACTCAGCGAACTTGGCTTGAACGACTCTCCATCCATTCAAATGATGTGTGACAATCAAGCTGCAATCAGCATTGCTAAGAATCCTGTGCATCATGATCGAACCAAACATATTGAAATTGATAAGCACTTCATCTCTGAGAAGATTACCAGTGGAACCGTGCAAATGAATTATGTTCCTACCCAACAGCAGGTTGCGAACATCCTTACCAAAGCATTACCTAGGTCTAACTTTGAAGATCTAAGTAGCAAGCTGGGTTTGTATGACATACACACACCAGCTTGAGGGGGAGTGTTGAAAATAATTATTCAAAGTTAGGATTTAATTGTTACTTATTGTATTTAGGGGTGTTAGTTAGAGTAAAAGATAAGATCCTCCGTGATCTTCTCTTTGGTTTCTGTTTCCTGAATTTTAGGAACATAACCGTGAGTCTCCTAGATATTTTCTTCTTCCACCATGTATACATGTGTACTAGTTCTCTGATCTAAATAAGAAAAATAGTTCTCACGTTTTTCTTCAGTACTTGTTTGCCTAAGCGCCAAAAACTGCTCACACAAGTTCCCCTCCTGAGAAGAACGAAAACATTGTAGGAGAGCCACCTTGAAGTCAATCCAAGTGATGAAAGGTCACCGCTGATTCTGCCATTGAAACCACGATAGTGCATCTCCTTCTAGGGCAATACCGGCGGTAATCAGTTTCTCCCTCTCCGAGAACCTATTGATGGAGAAAAATTGATTCATTCTAAACAACCAGCCATCCGGATCAATCCCACTGAACAACGGATAATCCAATTGCTTCTGCCGAACCGGTGAGAACTCCTCACCTCCCCACGGCTCTCCATAGTTACCCACGAAGTCCATGGAATCCTCAGCCTCATTTTCCTCCCAACGACGTCTACTCTCTCTGCCAGTGTTCACGCCAAATCGGATTCCCTCGTAACGGCCATCCATCCTCGGCCTAGGACCTCCATTAACCGTGTGAGCTCTTCTTCCTCCTTCACCATTTCGGCCATCGCGCAAGTCCCCAGCGTCCTCGGAAGTCCCACCAACTCGGGAGTCGCCGCGCTGCCCTTCGCGAAGACTCCTTTCTCTATCGCCGGTCTGCCGCCCCTGGGTCGGCCATTCCGGCCATCGCGGTTGAGATCGGAACGATTTCCGTTCGCGATTCGAACCCTAGCACGCATGATTTTTTCCCCGACTAGACTCTCCCTGCCATCCACACCCTGGTGTTTTCCCCGCTCCCCTTCCCCGGAAACCCTAGGTTCGGCCAACTCCCCCAGATCGCATCTGTCCTCCTCCACCAGACTCGTAACATCACGAGTTATACCTTGGACCAACCCGACCTCTTCTTGCCAAACCCTCGCAGCTCCTGAATGAGAACCTTCCACCGGCAGGTTTGCCGTCGCCGCCACAGTTAGTAGTCGCATCTACTCCATCAGTCGGCACAGATCTGACACATTCTGGTTCATTTGGCCATGTTATGGTTAATTTCAGCCCTGCTATGGCTCATTTCAGCCCTTACCTCACCAATTTCTTTTTCCACCGAAGCCTTTACTTGTTCAATCTCCTTCTCCATCGCCTCAAATTTCTCTTTCGTTTTGCTGGCCGCCATTATCACCCAGAAACAGTGCTTTGATACCAAAACCAAGAAAAGATTGAGAGAAGAAGAAGAAATCAAATCGAGAACTTTATTAATGACAGCACATGTACACCGATACGCGTATCTTCGAGGGTCCGCTACCTCCCCGTACTTAGAGCGATTCCAAGATTTGCACAACAAACTGATTATTCTCACCGTGCCTTCTTTCTATTACTCTCCCCCTTTTATACATTCCCCTATTCATTAAACTACTAGCAATCTTCCTTAGTAAGCTACTAATACTAACAAACTTTCACAGTAAGTTATAGACAGCCTCCCCAAACTAGAACCCCTTTCCTAGGCCCGTTTATTCTTCCTAATGTACACTTGCCTGAGTAAGGGCTTATCACCATCCAATACGAGCTTAGTAACTCCAGAAAGAACACCGTCTTGTGGGGCGTGTAAAGGGTAAAATAAACCCGAGTCTTACATTCTATTAATGGTCGGTTTTCAAAATCATGAAGTAACAACCATGTGTCGTGCATTGATCTTTTTCCAAATTTGGGTGATCTTATAATAAATCAGCTGAAACAAATACTCCCATGCTTTGTTTTCTATTGAGAAATGTTTCAAATGATGATGGGGACTTTTTGTGGTAAGTTATTTCTATTGGTTGTGTGTGTTTTTAAACATCAATTCAATCACATAGAATTAAACCAAAATCAAACAGTATGTGAATTTAGTACGTACAAAACTGTTTTTCTTTTACACTAAGGAGATAATAAATCACAGAGGCTTTTCAAAGAATCCAGCAACTGTGGAAAATTATGCAATTTCTAAAACTACAACGAAGTGACATAGAACTAATAACTAAGCTTTTCACGAATGACTAATAAGCCTTCACGGCAGCTTCTGCTGCCAACTAACCAAAATCATGCCTTGTGAATTTAAGGTGGATATAGAACTTCATGCGATTAGCATAGTTTGATCAAAAACTTGTTTTAATGCTGATTTTCATTCTAAACGTGGAAAGATATTAGCTACCACAATCAATTGCTTTCTGCCTTAAATGTTTCAATTGTACATTAATATGTTTCTAATTGTGGATCCTTGGCAGGCTCTAGAGTTGTGATTAAGGGAGAAAATGACCACCAAAATGTGGTATGGCTTGTCATCTCAAAGCAATGACTTACCATGGTAAGGAAAACATAGTTCCTTTCTTTTGGCTTCGTCTATAAGTTGTATTCACCGAAGTGGAAAATTGTAATGTAAATGTTAATAGTTTTTTAAGAAATATATTTTGTATTATCATTTGTCACTTGGATCAAGAATTCCAACTCTCTGTCTGTCTACATCTGATTCACTTTTATTTTTATTTTTTTTCCCTTTTCCCCTGAAGGAAAAGGGTACAAGAATAGAGAGTGGCATAACATCCCTCCAATATACCTCGTCCACTGTAGTGAATTAATTTAAATCCAAAACTTTGTCAAGGAGAACAAACAGTTTTACCACGGTCTTCCTCTCCAAATGATTGCCGTTAGATTTATCAATCCGAACACATTAAGGTATCGTTCATTTTATCGATTTGAGTGTTTAGTTTTAAATTTTTACAGTTAAAAGTTCTTAAAAAATGTCATATTTAATTTTTTCTACTATAGTTAAAAGTTTTTAAAAAATATTACATCTCAACTCGAATTAAAAATTTAAATTCGCAAAACGAACAAGGTCTAAATTAGAACAAATTGAATTGAATCTATCTAAAAACATCCTTTATTGACACTATAGTTTTGTTTATTTTGTTAATTTGAATTATAACTCAAGTTTTTACTATATTATTTTTTCTCATAAAAATTTAAATTTAATTTTTTTTGTTATAATATTTTCTCTTTTTTTTAAATTCACTTTTTAATTTAAATTCTTAACTCGAACTAATGAAATGAACGGTCTCTATTATGTTTATAGTGTACTTTGAAATTGCCTTAATTTTATTAGCTGACGTGCATGAATTTGCTCTCTCTCTCTCTCTAAATTTCTTCCGAATTGATTGCTTGATTTGCTTGCTAAGCATTCAATGTAATGTGAAGATCAAATATTATTTTTGAATGGTCGGTTGTATACTTTTAACAAAAGTTATAGTTTACTTGTTCAGCTGTACAATTAAGTGTTCTATTAAATGGGTTATCTAACCTGCAATATGATCTTTTGTTTCACAAAATAGACAATCAAAACTCAGAAAAGAAAATAGTTCCTTTTTAATGACCTCTTCTGGATACTGACTTACTGGTCTTAATAGTCCAAACTCCAATGCCAAAATTCCTGTAGTGGGTTGTTGGTGCTTCATTAAATGCTGCCAGATGAGCCATTACTTCAAGGTTCAGTCTTCCCATACCTCAGAAATACTTAATAAGGTTCTGTGTTTTATGAGTTAGCCAAGATGTTCTCCATGTTATTACTAATAATTTGACATTTCTAATTAACTGGATACCTATAAATAGATGTAAATAATTAAACAAACAAATAATAGAGTAAATAAATAAATAAAAGGCTGAAAAGTGATCAACAAAGTTACAATAAGCGCACAAGCAAGCCATATAAAGGAATAATACTCATTGTTAAGGCAAAAAAAATTGAAAGGTGAAGGCGCAAAAGTCCAGAAAAAGTAAATGATCCCAATCTATTTAACCCTTTTCCATAATGAGTGATCATGATGTATAAGTTCATAATTAGCAGGGGATGACAATTCCTTGACCAAGATATATCTGACTTGGTTTAGTCCCAACATATGATAAACTGTTGCACAAAGGAAGTTGTTCATGAAAGTTTAATTTTTATTTCATGACAAGTAAACAAACACTAGTAAAGATACCCAAAAGTAGCATAAAACATCCAAAAAGAAAAAAAGAACAGACAAAAGACTGGTATGATAATAATAGCCTTTTTCTAAAGCTCTAAACTTCCTTAACCTCCACAGCTCCATTCTCTTCCTTGGTAGCATCCTTGTTCTCCTTGACATCCTTAGAAGCAGCAGCAGCCGCCTTAGGCTCCTCGACCTCGAAAGCGGAGACGGGAAATGACCGGAATAGCCCTGTGGGGGTCTTGAAGGTGATCTTCCCGGTTGGGGGGTCATCAACAAAGATGTCACTGAGTGTGATCCAAAGCAGAAGCTCCTTGGTCTTGACCCCAGTGAGCTTCTTGATCTTGTTTTTCTCAGCAACGGCTGTGACCTCTGTGGCATAAGAAACCAGCTTTCCAATCTTGTTAAACTTGTGGGTTATGCTCTTCTTCTGCTTCAGCCACACAAAACCAGTCTCTCTCACAATCCCACATTCCAAAATGTCAGTCAAGGGCAACAGCCCATTTGGCAGCCCAACTTCCGTTAGCAACTCCTGTGATTTCTCCTTGCAGATTTCATCTCCATGGTACACTTCAGCCTTGGCCTTGATTTCTTCTGTCACAAGTGACATTTTTGTTTTTTTTTTGTTTTTTTTTTCTTTGGGTCTTTCTTGTTTTCCTTACTTTCTCAACAAACTTTGGCCTTAGGTGAGAATTTTGTGAGATGGAAGAAAGCGGTGTGTGGGGTTCATATATAGTTGTAAAGCAAATAAGTTGCCCTTTTGGTTTGTCATATTTTCCAAATTGCCCTTGAAGTTCCTCAAAATTACGGAAATGCCATTTTGGAGGGTAGAGAGAGAGAGGAGAGAGTAATAGGTGTCCAAAAAGAACCAAGAATTGATACAGGTGGGCTTTTGCTTAGTTAGCTCAACGAACTCTCTTTCCATTTTGCTATATAATTAATTGATTTGCTATGGGTTTTGTTTGTAGATTGACATTTGCAAGTAAATGGTTTGCCAACTTTGATGGGACAAAAAATTATCGGCAAAGAGGTAATTTCATGGAAAATGCATGGGTTTTGTGTACCAAAAAGTATTTATAATATGGTTGGGGGAATTATGGCTATATTAAAGGGAAAGCGGTTGAGGATTGAAGGCAGTTAGCCAATGACAACGCTCCACGTTTTGCTTAGTGGGGGGACTGTAACCTATTTATTGTGGCTGATGGGCATGTGTGAAGAAAAGGGTTAAGTGTCAACTTATTAGCACCCCAACTAATATCCAAATTATTTATTTTTCTATTTTCGGTACTAGGACAATATAGACCGCGTAATCCCATTTTCACATTTAAAAAATGGGTAGGAAAAGAGGGGGAAAAAGAGAGAGAGAGAGAGAGAGAGAGAGATAAATTCTTGGTTAAGGATTGGTTTTTAAGGTGATTCTACGGTGATTCATTAATCAAATGGAAACTATTGGTCGCAATTGTAGGATTTGAATCTGATGGTACGTAGTAGTACTGGAACTTTGGACGGGCTGCCCGTGACTGTCCGAAAAGCTCGAGGATTTGCCTGAGCCCGAACCCGACCCGCCTGAGATTTTTGGGCCGCCCGCCCAAGCCCGAATTTCACCTCGAACGGGCCGCGGGCTTGTATTCGGCGGCCCGAGCTCGCTCGAATTACCCGAATTTTTTAAACTTTTTTTTTAATATTAAGTTATTTATATATATATATATTACAATTTAAAATGAACACACGAATTATATAAAAAAATTATTTTTTTATTAATTTTTAAATTTGTAATTCATGAATCATAAGACTAGGATTGCAGAGTCTACAATTAAGGCTCCTAAATACGTATGCATTTAATAATTTGAAAAAAAAATTAAAAAATACTATTAAAGATGGTAAAAAAATATTATTTATACTATTTTATTAAAAAATAAATAAGTGTCATTCAATTAATAAGAAGAAATAAAAGGTCATAATGACATTTTTTTAGAATGACATGAAAAAAATAATGGTTCAACTTAAAATTTTCTCTTAATTATTTTGTGTTAGTTTGTGAGTTTATGTCTGATAGGACTCTAAGAAGACTTTATTTTCACTAGTTTTCCTTAAACTAGGACACTTATTACGTGTTCAACTCAAACTAGGATTTTTTTCGATAAAAAAAAAAAAAAAAAACTGAAACTAGGATTGCATGTTGAATTAGGATTTGTCAGCCTATAAATAATGCATTATGTTGAGGTTGGGGCTGCAGGGCCACGCATAGAGGTCAATACCTTTTTTTTCGTTCCTTCCTAAAGTTATAGTAAACTTAGGACCTTTTATTATACTCTTTTCTTTATTGAATTTGTAATTTATACGCAAATGGTTATTCTTCTTTTTACCGGATTATCATATATATGTATATATATATACACACACAGACATATATCTCATATATCAATAGAGAAGAAGTTGAGTACCATTGTGAAACCTCTATTATTATAATTAGTTTTGTCTACGTTTAGTGTAAATATGTTTAAATATGTTTATTTGTAACTTTTCTCTCACATGCAGTAATGATTTGCTTTCGGAGAAAGAATATGGTTTGGTTCTTCTCCTAAAGCTTTTGAGATTATTTTTGGTTAGACATCAAATAGTTTAATGATAAATATGTCGATACAAGACAAATGAATACTTTTATACAATCTCTATAATATTTAATGTTTAACAATGATTATATAAAACCCACTTATAAAGATAATTTAATATGACATTAAATATTTAGGAGGTTGTTTGAGAGTATTTTTTTGTGCTGTATTGATATAATTATTGTACTGTTTCATGTTTCATTGAAAGTAATTTCTCATACGAAAGCTTAAAAGCATGAAGGCGTTTCAATACTCATTCAACAAACTCCGTTCCCTTCTCAAACTCAAGTGAAAAGGTAAAGCATGGGCAGCCAAACAAATTCACATATGTTTTGACTAATGTTCTCTTTTTGTTTTGGGTTCGTTTTTTGGAGACAATCAAGTGTGCATTCCAGCGACTTGTGCTGCTGGTGCTAATAATATCCGAGACCAACTTCGCTGGTTACTGGTGGTTGCTTAGAGTCATTGTTTGATATTACCTTTCTTTTGTGACTTCATGATGACATTAATGTCATACTAGAATGGGTACGTCTCCTTTTTTCACTTAATATTTAATATGTTATTGTATTAATATACTACATAAGATAATATTGATATACTGTATAAACTAATAAATATTAATACAAAAGATAAAATATGCTAACATAATATATTATTAATATATTAATGATATTAATACAATAAAATTATAACGTATTAATTATATTAGTACATACTATACAAATTAATATTGATATAATACATACCACATAAGCTAATATTCATATACTATATAAACCAAAATCAATGTAAAATATAAAATATGTTAACATAACATATTACTATTGATATTATTATTATTATTATTCCCAAATTTTGGTAGTACTGGATTATGTTTGATACGAACTTTGTTTCTAAAAGGGCATCTAACTCAGGAAATCGTTTGGAATTTCCTTGCGCTCGTGGTTTCATGAGAATGGACATGAAAATTAGGGTAAAAATTTGGGCACCTCGGGCAACTCAAGTTTTCGGGCAGAATTCGGGTAAAAATTCAAAAAACTAGCCGTTTTCGGGCAATTCGGGCACCTCGGGTTTTCGGGCAAAATTAAAAAAACTAGCCGTTTTCGGGCAATTCGGGCACCTCGGGTTTTCGGGCAAAATTAAAAAAACTAGCCGTTTTCGGCAATTCGGGCACCTTGGGCGGGTCGGGCAATTCGGGCAGGCGGGAAAAATTCGGACAAAATTCAAAAAAATTCAAAAATTCGGGCTTCGGGTCGGGCAGTTCGGACATGATCGGAAAAATTTAAAAAAATCCTGGCGGACGGCGGTATACGGTGGTTAGACGGCGGCGGACAATGGTGGACATGTCAAATTCGGGTTGCCCGAGCCCGAACCCGAATTTCTTGCTTGGGCGGGCGGGAATTGGGCCTGCCCGCCCGAGCCCGAAAAAATTCGGGCTTCGGGCGGCCTGCCGACCCGAAGTTCCAGTACTTATGCGTTGTTGGACGCTATGATCTGTGAGAAGATTTTTTTTTTTTTATATTTCCTATTCTTCGTCCGGATTAAAATCGTAAAATTAAGGTAAATAGTCCTACAGAAGGTGCTACCATATAGAATTTCCCTAAGAAGAGACCATTAATTTTCATGGAAGAAATGAGGTAAAAGCTATTAGTGCATTCGTTGTTAGATGGTGTGACATTTGCTCCAAGTGTTAAATGCTCAGTTGGGGACGACAATGAATTAAACATCTTTATTTACTTTTCACTTTCTCTATTTGACAATGGTTGACATGATATGAACATGAACTGTACAGTAGTAAATTCACACCAAGCTGATTCTTTTCTGAAACCAATTAATTCGCCTAAGTTTTATGTTTAGGAGGCACTTATTTTGGAACAAACTTCACGCAATCAATCCTTTTCTTTTTCCAAAAAAAAAAAAAAACGACAGTAAAACAAAAGTCTCCACAGAGTTAGGACTAATATTTGGACCCTTGTCTTTTAGGAAGAAGTATTGGCTAAAGAGTAGTTATATTTACACCTAAAAATTTATAAATATCTCTATTAATTAATATTTTTTTAATAAAAATTTTAAAAAATCTATACTTTTATAGATATAATTTTTATAATACCTAATTTAACCCTCTCATACTCTATCTAATTTTATTTTTGATTTGATTTATAAAATAATACAATCCTTCAAACTATTAATGACAATTTCCTTTTAAAAATATTACAAGTACATTTACTTTTATTTATTAATTGTTTCTTCTTCTTCTTCTTTTCTAATTTTTTTTTTTTTTGAACAAAGACCCCAAAAAAAAAAAAAAACTAGATGCGATTAAAAAAAGAAAAAAACCATATGCACAATGATGCTGATGCATATAAAGGCTCAATGACTGTTTGTCACATATTCACATATGTATATTTACCTATTTTAGCATTTGTTGGCTCATCAAGAGACATGTTTTTTTTTTGTTTTTTGTTTTTTTTCAATTGGAGCCTCCATTGAAATCTTCAAAGAAATCGATGGAGAAAATTTTAGGATTTATGAACATAATATTAGCTTTAGCCAGAAACGTGTGATATTTTTTTTATTTTTTTAAAACATTACTTTCTAATTATAGTTCATGTGAGTTTATACTCTTATTTCAGTGAAAAATACTATTTCTATTTATAATTAGAGACTTTTTTCGGTACGCTAACATAACGGTAAATCAGGTTTTATGTTTATCGGATTTGCATAAAATCATATAAAAATCAAAAGGTATGTAGATCAACGGTTATAAAAATTTGGCTAACCAGTATGCTAAGTTTACCATAAAATCTTCCTTATAGTTAATGTAGGGGTATAATAATAGGTTTTAATGTAATTTTAATAAAGAATAAAATTGTAATAAACATAAATTATGACTTGGTTAATAAATTTTTAAGGTGCAAATATAATTACTCTTGGGTAGACCTTATTTATGGCTAAATATCCTTGTATTTAATAGTCATTTGTGACTAAATTACAATTTGTATCTAGATAATTATTGAATAAAATTTCTCCCAGAAAAAAAAAAAGAAATATTGGTTAAACTTGATTAGTCTAAAGAAATAGAACGGTAAAGAAGATACTAGGAATAGAAAATTCTTAATGGTCACATCATACGGTCATGATCAGTACCGTAATTGTGGACCAAATGAAAACGACAGATAAAGTCTAGTTTGGTTGGTCTTCTTCTCGTGGCACTATGCCACTATCTAGTCTAGTAGCATCCGCCATCCAGTATCTACACCAATTTAATGGAGTTTAGAGAAATCAACAAAATGCATTCAATCCAAAACCAAATAATCCATGATGCTATGCCAAATATTTTGGAGAGTACTAAACTTGCATCTATGGCGGGCCAGACTCCCAACCATAACATAATTTATTAAGAAAGTGTAATAAATAACAAATTTATAAAACTAAATAAAGTACATAATATATTTTAAAACTATTTAAAATAAATAACAGTTTATTATATAAATAATTCATTTATAAATAGTAAAAAAAAATTATATGGTGAAAAATATTTACTTGCGTGGAAAAAAAAAATCTTTTTACGAGTGGAAAACAAATCTTTTTACTTGTTGAAAAAGACAATTTATGTGAAACAAAATGATAAAACTTGTTAGCAGAATAAAATTTGAGAAAACGGATATTATTTTTTAAAATTCGAGGGGTAAAATGTTATAATGGTCATAGTTCAGAGAGAATTTTTGAAATTAATCCTAATCTTTTTATAGTTGTAAATGAAATATTTACACAGTAAACTATTATTTATTTTTTAAATAGTATTAAAATATGATATTTACTTTAATAATTTTTTATGAATATGCTATTTACTTTAGTCTCTCTTATTATTTTTTTTTTTAGAAAAAAGAAAGTTTTATTAAATTTGAATAAAATTAGATCAGATTAAAAAAACATCCAGAACAAATAATTTTTAATACATATATAATAGTTTGACAGTTTACCCGAGAAACTCTAGAAAAAAATAATAGTAATGATAACGCCTAGAGTTAAAACATGTTAAAGAACATATATACGTACGTGAAACAATTATAATTTATTTTCAGCCTAATGTAACATCACTTCACCGTTCTAAATCTAGAGTAAGATATACCTCCGAAATGACATGTGACAAGAAGTTTGTGGACAAGTGGGTTAAGACTTTTTAAGTGACTTTAGAACCCAGGTTCTGGGACTCTGTTTTGACAGATTTAATGGCCTGGTTCCCACCAGTATCTAACTAACTAAAGTAGGTTGAAACCTAGTTGGTAATTGGTATACTCAATTTAATGGTTTGTCTTATAATAAATGCAGTACATGTGTATAAATTTATGATGAAAACAGACGAATTACCAAAGGAAAATGGAGCATGTCAAAATGTTAGTGCATTTATTTTTTGGCTGAAAATAATATTCGTGCATTTGGAAGCAAAAATTATATAGACGTAATTATCTCTAGACATTTGAACAACACATGAATCCCAATGACAAACAATCACCAACATTTAATCTCTATGTTTTATTTTATCTTATTTCGTATTTTTTGGGAATTTCCTGAGCAAATGAATGAAAGCAATACAAGAAGGGCAAGTTTTACAAAATTGGGTAACAAAACTTTTACGGCTGAAGAGAGTAATATGTGCAAGGAAAATTCCATTGAGAATGATATTTATTCACCTCATTGAAGCTTTTGAGAGAAGACATGAGTCTAGGCTTACGGATTCATTTTCCATGACGAAGAAGATCACTTGGAAGCAACTCTCGTATTGTTACGTCTGTCCATTAATGTGACAAGAAGTTTGTGGACAAGTGGGTTGAGACTTTTAAGTGACTTTAGAACCCAGGTTCTGGGACTCTGTTGGACAGATTTAGGGCTTGTTCTTTTGAGTGAAAAACTCAAAAAAAGACAACTCGAGTTACAATTTTATCCGAGTTCATGTTCTTTTAAGTTTAAACTCGAATTTAAATTCAAGTTCAAACTCAAGTTTAGGACTAAAACTCGAGTTCAAGTTTCTCCTTCAACTCGAGTTCAGAAACTCGAACTTAAATTAATGAACAATATTTTTTATATTCTTAAAAATGCTATAACTTTTTCGTTTTAATTTTGATTGAGATGATTTTTTTTTCTATGCGTTGACAACGAAAAGACGAATAAAACCCGTCCCATATACCCTATTAAAATTTTTCATCAGCATTGAGTTTTTATTAAAATACTATCTAAATATAAATTCAAGTTTTGACTCACTCAAACACAAACTCAAAAAGATTTTTATCTCAAACCATAAATCAAATGTACACAACTAAACACAAACTAAAATTACAAGTTCAACTCAAGTTATAACTCAAATTCAACTCAAGAATTATACTCAAGTTAAACTCTAAAAGAACAAACCCTTAATGGCCTGGTTCCCACCAGTATCTAACTAACTAAAGTAGGTTGAAACCTAGTTGGTAATTGGTATACTCAATTTAATGGTTTGTCTTATAATCAATGCAATACATGTGTATAAATTTATGATGAAAACAGACGAATTACCAATGGAAAATGGAGCATGTCAAAATGTTAGTGCATTTATTTTTTGGCTGAAAATAATATTCGTGCATTTGGAAGCAAAAATTATACAGACGTAATTATCTCTAGACATTTGAACGACACATGAATCCCAATGACAAACAATCACGAACATTTAATCTCTATGTTTTATTTTATCTTATTTCGTATTTTTTGGGAATTTCCTGAGCAAATGAATGAAAGCAATACAAGAAGGGCAAGTTTTACAAAATTGGGTAACAAAACTTTTACGGCTGAAGAGAGTAATATGTGCAAGGAAAATTCCATTGAGAAAGTACAAGTGCTTAGTCAGAGCCGAGTCTAATTGCTCCCCTTTTCTGAGTATGAGGATGATAGTACATTTTACCATACACCAAGAACCAACTGCATCTCCAAGTAAACGAAGGACAATTATTTGGTGTAGATAAGTAGAAAGTACCTCTCTGGACCATCAAAAGAAGATGGGATATAGATTCCCGGTTCAATCGTTATCACCTGCCCAAGACCAAGAAGATTTGTAAAAGTAGAACACAGCTTGCAGCACCTATACATGTTCGATGTTGATGTTGCAGTGTTACAGTTGGCATATGGCCAGAATGTTGAAGCGGTATGGATAAGGCTCTTGATTTATAAGAGAATGAAAACAGAAAGGAACTATATATATGTGAAAATGGTGTTTGATGTGGGAGACAACTTACAACACCTGGCTTCAAAGGACGGTTATATCTGACTGTTGAACAATCATGGACATCCATTCCTAGATAATGACCTGAACAACAAGAGAAGAAAATAATCACAAAACCAATTTGGTTGTTCTTATGACAATGCTATATTCTCATGCCGAACAATCGTAATAAAAGAAAAATTGAACTCATGCAAAGGGATATGCAAAGAAAACCTATAGAAGTTGGATTCAGCTGATGATAAGAATGGCTTGCTTCACTTTTCAAGATTCCAATCTCATTGAGTCCTTTGCGCAGCATTGCAACCTGTGCAAGCACATGAAATTTAAAGTTAATCAATTACTTCAGAATTAAGAGGAGATGAAATTTCACTCTCTTGATTCTAAAAAATGAGAAAATTCAGGGAACCCAAAAAAAAAAAAAAAATCCATTCTCCAAGTACCGAATAGTTGTGTATTTGTTGAATACTAGCACCAGGTTTGCAGAGCTTCAAAGATTCCTTGTTCGTTTGCAGAATCAGCTCATAAAGGTCCTCCTGAAATATAGACATGACATATCTCAAGTATGAGACCAGGTTGTTGAAAACGTGTTATTTCCTACTGTTTAGGAAATTCTATTTTCGAAAATATATGTAATCTCTATATGGTAGATTAGTTGCTGATTTGTCGCTAGCTATAAATTAGGAGTTAGTTTCCTTTTCTTTCTCTAACTGATTGTAACCTAATTGTATATAAAAGAGGCTTATTACCTCTGATTATAATGTGAGACTGACAGCTAGGTATTCTTAATTGACCTACCGATTTCCACATGGTATCAGAGCCAAACATCTGATCACCGGAAAAATCAAACAGCCACCATGTCTGGCACATCCAGCGTAGGTGATAAGTCGCTCGATTCTGGATCGGCGAAATCATCTTCAAAACCTGCTCTCCTGTCAAATACTCATGACAATCTTTCTTCTCACCTAATTACCACTCACAAACTCAATGGAGAAAATTTTCTCCAATGGTCCCAGTCGGTCATGTTATTCATCCGGGGTCGTGGAAAGACTGGGTTTCTGACGGGAGCGACACAGAAACCCATTGAGACCTGGGAATCTGAGAATGCCTTGATCATGTCATGGTTAATCAATTCGATGGAGCCAGCGATCAGCAAGAGACTTATATGTTCCTGGCCACTGCTCAAGAAATCTGGGAAGCTGCAAAGGAGACTTTTTCTGATCTGGGAAATTCTGCCCAGGTCTATGAAATTACCACACGCATCCGCAACACGAAACAAGGCAATCTGAGTGTGTTGCAATACTATAATACGCTCAGAACCTTATGGCAGGAGCTAGATTTATTTTACGACTATGAATGGCACTGTCCACAAGACAGTGCCATATTCAAAAAGATGATCGAGAAGGACCGTGTTTTTGCATTCTTGGCTGGCTTGAACAACGAACTTGATGAGGTTCGTGGTAGAATTCTTGGACGTGAAGTCTTGCCATCCACTCGTGAAGTATTCTCCGAGGTCCGCAAGGAGGAAAGCAGAAGGAGTGTTATGCTGGGAAAAGAGACCCGAGAGGTTCTTGTCATTGAGTCAAAGTCATCCGCTCTTGCAGTCAGAAGCAACATGTTCTCCACCTTTTCTGATGGTGGGATTGACACTCGAAATAAAAAGGGAAATAAACCCTGGTACGACCATTGTAAAAAATCTGGACACCCGTGAAACTTGTTGGAAACTACACAGAAAACCCCCTCATCTGAAAACCGGACAACCAGACCAACGGACTAGCAGAGCTCTTCAAACGGCCTCTGAGGAATCAATACCAGAAAGTGCTCTTGTTGCCCTTATTAAGGAACAACTCGAAAACCTTATGAAACTCCTGAATTCTACTTCCCTTCCATCTGCCTCGATTGCCCAGAAAGGTTATTTTCCTCAGTCCTTCAGTGTGCTAACCGAGGACAGAACCCCATGGGTTATAGATTCTGGTGCCTCAGATCATATGACAGGTTGTTCCTCACTCTTCTCCTCTTATTCTCCTTGTGCTGGTAACCTAAAAGTAAAAATTGCTGATGGTTCTTTAGCCACAGTAGCAGGAAAAGGTTCAATCATTTTGTCCAAAAATCTGGTCCTAGAGTCTGTACTTCATGTGCCTTCTATTTCATGCAACCTTTTATCCATTAGCAAACTCACCCAGGATTACAATTGTGTTGCTAAGTTTAGCTCTTCTTCATGTCAATTTCAGGAACTGGCTTCGGGGAAGATGATTGGCAATGCTAAAGTGTGGAGGACTTTATTACCTAGACAAGGAAGACTCAAGTAGACAGAATCCAAACTGCAAATCTTTTTATGTTTCTTTATGTGAGAATAATGTTATGTTGTGGCACTATAGACTCGGCCACCCCAGCTTTCCGTATCTAAAAAATTTGTTTCCATCTCTTTTCAATAATAAAGACCCCACTTCCTTTCAATGTGAAATTTGTCAACTCTCCAAACATCACCGTGTATCATTTCCATCTCAAACATACAAA